AATTCAATAAAATAAGCCCATTTTTAAAAAGATAAGCTACTTAAGTTCTAGATTCTTAACTAATAAATTACCTCAAGATAAGATTTAATGACATAATAAAAGTTATTACCAATCCCAAATTAAGATGGGCTCTAGATTGGTTTTAACTGGTGCTTAGAGTGTATTTGTGTGGTAGGTCTAAGGAAACACAGCCCCATTGGCTTGGCAGCTACATGCCTGGAGATGATTTCTGCCTTGATCTTGGCACTGTATCTGGGCAAGGGTCAGACTTTAATGTTGAACACAAATAGTGTTTGACTAAGCAAAGAAATGCTTCCCTGTGGGAAAAGCCCCTTTCCCTGATGCTGAGATGTGTTCAGCTGGCCTGGGTTTGTGCATGGGTTGTGATAGCCCATTGTTTTTGCTCTTTCCTGACTAAACTGAACCTTGAGGCTTTTTGGAGGGAAGTTTTGAAGACAATACTTTTTAGTTTCAGTTTTTTTGAGTCATCCAAAATGAAATTCAAACCTGGAGAGTGGAGATGAATGCATTGCCTTAGTTTTGATAAGCTTTAAATTGAATGTGTGCAATATGGAAGGATCCACATTTACAAGCTGGGTAGAGACGTGTCTGTCCTGATTATGCCAGTAAGTATTTCAGTGCTTCATTGTTATGGTTACATTTTCAAGTTTGACTGAACTCCTGCTTGGCGTAACTCATTAAGACTGTTAGCAGCCAGGGTATTGCACACATTTGGGCTTCTTTCTTGATGATGTAAAGGCAGTCAGGGCAGCCATAGGAGTCCAGGGTACTTCGGATTTGGTATGTGCAGTACTTAGTGTATTTCTATAACAGAAGACTTATGGTGCAGTCCTAAATACCAGTGTTATCCAAAGAAAAAACGTTTGCTGATCTCTTTAAAGAATTTCCTGGCAAACATTCAGTTTACTAATGAGTTTGGACTAACTGGGATTTTCCCGAATCTAAGGTCTTAACTGGGACCTCCCATTCATTTCATTTAGATATTTCACCTGAAACGTCAAAGGAATGGTGCTCCTACATCTCTGTCTGGTGCTCATTCACATGAATTTTGTTGGAGTACAGTATTTCATAGAGTTGACCCACCAGTTATTTGTTGTAGTTGGTTTTGTTGTTGGTGGTGGTTTTTTTGTTTTTGTTTGTCTGTTTGTTTTGAGACGGGGTCTTGCTACATAGCTCTGGCTGGCCTAGAATTCTCTAGGCCAGGCTGGCCTGAAATTTGTGACAGTTCTGCCTCAGGCGGAGATACAGTGCTGTGATTGAGGTGTGTATCCTACGCGCCTAGCTTCACGTGCTCTCTTGATTGAATATGCAGTTATTGTATGTGTATAAATAAGATGGGGACGGAGTTGAATTACAGTTTAGGGAAATAGGAACTATCACAAACACTGGTTCCCGTATTTGCTTCTTTCTAAATCATTGTCAGTATGTTTTGAGAAAGTTCAGAAGAAACACTCCTTCATGATTTCACTTTTTAAAAATAACAGAAGACAGACTGTTAGTGAGCCCTTCCATTTCAGAGTTTCTGTGAGTGTGAGGCGTGAAGGAAAATGTTGTCATACTAGATTTCATAGCTAAACAAGATGAAGAGTTTTAAAATCATAAGTCAGATGTGATTTTAGCATGATTTTTGTCTTTAAAGATCGGTGTTTTTATGTGCCTGGCATACATCAGGCCCTGGTAAATATATAGAGGGTTTGGTTTGGGTTTTATTATGTTGCTCAGGCTGGCCTCAAACTTAGCATTGATCTTACTGAATGCTGGGGTTCAACACACACTGCCATGCCTGGCTTCAATTTTTGTCTTGTCCCACCTTGTAATGTTTCTCTTGAGATTACTGTCTTATCCTTTGATTCTAGTATTAGTTTCTAAATTAGCTATTTGGAAAAGGCGTTCACTTGCAACACAATGCCCGTGAGCCCAACAGTTGATTCATTTCATTGTGTGATTCTTGTATGCAGTATTGGAGTAAAGAGAAGTCCTTAGGTTTCTAAGCTACATGTTCATTTCACCATAAAGTGCCCATTTTTAGAAACATGTAAGGATTATTTTTCAAAATGTGTTCATGTTGGCAAGTGATTTCAGAAACACAGTTGAAGTATATTCTGTTACCATTTAGTAGGTAGTTTATGATTCCTTGGTTTTGTGTTGTATCTGATCTGCTGTTGAAAATGGCTTTTACCTTTTTATTTTGTTTATATAATACATTTATCTTGGTGTTTATACTGCTGAGGCCTGTTAGGATTTTTTTGGTTCATTTTTAAAGTAATTAATTTGATTCATTTGTATTAATGCTTACCAGTTTGGGTTTTATTTTGTTTCTTTTCAGGAGAAATCCGTGTTGCTTGTTATCATTGTATGTAGCACATACAACGTGTGTGTGTTCCAAACTTAAGCAGGCATTTTAGAGATCTATGTAGCTTTTTAGAGGGTTTAGATTTGTGACCATGAAAATTACATGTACATGAAATACTTTAATGGTAGAGTATATTGATACTTTTGGTTTTTTTTTTACTTTCTTGCCAGTTCATTTACTGACAGATGTTACTATTGTTCATGCTAAAGCAAGATGTGTGAATATTTTAAAACTTCATAAGTATAAAAATTTTATATACTGTCTATTAAGATACGACTTTAAAGCAGAGATTTGTTTTGATTTTGGTCTGATTCCATTTTTACCTTGAACAGAATTTTTTTTTTTGAGGAAATTTAGTAAAAAATAAATAAACAAACAAATAAATACCCTTGCCAAGTTCAGCTTTGTGATGAGGGGTAAAAAGGGTTTATCGGCTGGAATAGTAGGGCTCTGTGGGGAAGAGGGGGTCACACAGGGCTGAGAAGAATGCGCCTTGGCCTTACATTTCTTCTCTTCCGCCCACATCAGCCCTCACCTGAACAACAGCCTCAGGCTACATCTGCCTTGATGTGAACCGGATCACGTGGGTCTGGGACATTAAGATTTTTAACACCTAGCCCATAAATCATATCTTCACTATTCTTTTTAGTTGGAAGGAGTCTCTGTTACAATTACTTAGTAATTTTGCCCTAATTTCAAGTGTACCAACATGAAGCAAAAATGTCATGGAGATGCACTTGTCCAACGCTGCCCCGGCTGCGCTTGCTTTGGGAGGGGGGTGTTTAGTCTGGTGTTTCCTCGGTTTCCTTTTCCCTGTCCTACTGCCTCCAGGAGAGGTGGTTTAACGTGTTCAGTAGTGGGGTGTGTGTGTGTGTGTGTGTGTGTGTGTGTGTGTGACAGAGAGATGCTTTAAACCTGACTAGCATACTGAACTTTAACCTCTGCTGTTAGAAGTTTCTTTTAAACAACTGTGCTGACATTTAGAAAGTGAAAATGAAACTGCTGTGGTTTAAACACTTAAGTTTGTTTCCCTGAAAAAGTTTATTTAGCCATTATCTGGGTTGTTACATGCAATAATTTATATATTTGTATTCTGCTTTGAAACTGTAAACTAGATAAGCTTGTCTACTATTTTTAACTTTACAATAATAAAACAAATATTTTGTTATCTCTCTGCTAGCTTCAGTTGATTTTTGTACATTTATTTATTGTGTGTGTGTTGGGGGGGGCGGGGCACCAGGCCACCAAAACCTTCAAGAGTTAGTTCTATCCTTCCACCCATGTGGGTCCCCGGGATCGAGCTCAGTTCTTCTCCTCCTCCCTCCCCCTCTCCCCCTTCCTCCTCTTCCTTCCTACTCCTCCTTTTTTTTTTTTTTATCAAATAATTGAGCTACATTGAAAGTTTTGCCTAATCTAACTTTTTATCCAGTTATCTGTTCATGAACAACTTGAGTTTTTTTGTTTTTTTTAATCCCAGTTAAGCTGGTAAGAATAGAACTTTAGGGCGCTGGAGAGATGGCTCAGGTTAAGAGCTCTGGCTGTTCTTCTGGAGGACAC